CCAACTGTGTCCAAACACCAGCAGAATGGCACCTACTAGTGGAAATGATTCTCCCATTTCAATGCTCCCTATAACTCTCTACTTTCCCTATATGCACTGAATGCTTGGGGAAACCTCCGAAGCGAGTGTGGGTGAAAGGAAATGCTGAATTATTCAAGGGAAAGCCAATGGGTGCAGCTCAAGAAAAGCTACATACACACCTGACAACCCCAGAACTACTGGAGTATACCACACTTTAATTAAGCTGCCACCAACCATTCCCTATAAGAAGTCACACAGACCAGGAATGGATTTTTAACAAACAAAAGAACAAGGTTTATTTAAATAACAAACAGGGTAAATAAAAAGATCAAGTAAATAAGATACTGTAACGTCGCATATTCCCAACCATATACATATAACAGTTTGGTTCACACAGAACACTTTAAAGTAAAGCACAGACCCTGAACCTATCAGTTCTGGCTACCCAGATAGAGACCTGAACCTATCAGGTATGTACTAACTGACACACAGTTGTACTCAGTCTGACACACAGACTCCCACTCCCCCAACTCCCCATCAGCTCCAGATATATATACAGTACAGCTCCTCCCCCTGATGTCCCGCCTTCCACTCCCCATAGGATGGAACTTTCCCTCCAAACCCATGACAGACAGGTACCATCAGTGCTGTATGTACCACTCTCTACTTTGCCTATATGCACTGAATGCTTGGGGAAACCTCCGAAGCGAGTGTGGGTGAAAGGAAATGCTGAATTATTCAAGAGAAAGCCAATGGGTGCAGCTCAAGAAAAGCTACATACACACCTGACCATAAGATTCTCCAGAGACATTTAAGTGTGACTTGAGGAAATCACGGAAACAGGCTTAGTGATGCTAGTCAATGACAGTCTCCAGAAGCAAGATAGGGGATGTTTAGTTAGGAACCTAGCATCTGCCTTATGATTAATCAGGTCACTAGTATAGCTAGCCCAGCTTTGTCAACTCTGAGTGGCAGTGACTCTACTGTTTCAGGCTGGATTATTTCCTATCCTTATATGGAAATCCCTAGTATTCCTAGTAGCTTTCCATCTTAATTCCAGCCACACCCCACCCTACTTAGCCTCTAAAATCAAATGAGCTTGAGTGTATTCTGAATAGTACTGTATGTAAGAACTAAATTTTGTGAGTTGTTTTCTCCCTTAACCTTTTAATGGCTTTCAGTACAACTGATCATGACATCCCCTTTAAACGGGTCAGAGGGCTGAGTATTTGTTGCAGTGGTTCCAAGCCTACCATCAGGCAGTTATCACATAGTAACAACGAAAGACCTAAACAATTACACTGTGGGATTCTGCAAGATTCCATCTTGCCTCTTAAACCATTTAACAGCATGCCCCTGGGTGATGTCATTGAGGGATCTGGAGCATGATGTCAATATACAGATAACAGACAGCTCTACTTCTCTGTTCCATCTGTATCATTAAAGACTGTACAAGTGGTAGACCACTGCCTAGAATCAGTGTGGGCTGTATTTGTAATGGGCTGTATTTGCACATGAAATGAAGTTAAACTTATAAGTTTATAAGTACAGTAATTCCCACCTGTGGAATAAAGGCAGATGACATATTTTGGATAATGTGGTACCCACGCCCCCAACAAAGCAGATAGGTTCCTAGCTTCTAAACAATGATCAGAAGGTCAAGATGACTGCAGTGGCAAAGCATCCTTACAGCCAACTACAGTCAGTCTATTAACTCTGGCTGTCCCTAAACTAGGCCCATCTGGCTACAGCAGTCCCTGCTCTGAAAGTTTTCCAATGAATGTACTGCAGTGTGCTCTTTGGAGTGTCCTTTGAAGATAATCTGCAGACTGTACCATCAGACTGCACCTACTATTGAAGTCTACTGTCTGGGTCCTGGTTTGGGGCGGTGAGACGGTGCTACATCTATTCTTAAATGACTGAATCAGCTGTTGCACCCAAACAAAGATATTAAGATTAGCCTACATATGCCAGGTGCATAAACAACTACTTTCCCAGTAACAACTTAACCAGAATTTGAGTACTTTGCTGCAAAATCCAGTAATGTTATTTTTTCTGAAAACTCTTGCATTCAAGAAACAAAAAAGAGTTTTGAACAGGCAAGTCTTTCTCCTTGCAGAGGACTTTATGGGCGTATGTGGCCTGCACTTGGTAGGCCTCCTCCAGAAAAAAAGAAAAAATATATTAGGAATTAAAGAACAATTGAAGGGTAGAAGGTAGAAGGTCAAATACATGTTTCTGCATATGGGCATCTTTTAGTATTTTAGCATACTGTACTTTTAGCAGAAAAGTATCTTGAACCTAATTAAAAGTCTGCCTAAATAAGAATGTCCTTACATGCCAGTAGAAAAGCAGCAGAGAGGGACAACTTAATCTCCCTCAAAAGAGAGCACTACTGCCTGGAAGAAGCCACAAAAAAGGACCTCCATCACAGCAGATACATATGCACAGAGAATTTCCAAGAGTCAAATGTCACCTTTAAAATGTTTTTACATAAGCACCAGCTGTTTGCATATACTGTCAGAGTATCGGTTAGCTACAAGCCAGCTGCACTCACATTGTAATAGCTCATACAAAGGAGTCAGGGCAAGAATGAAAGCTATTTTAAATAAGGGCCACTTGTACAACACACAGGGAATCAAACATTCTATGAGTTTAAAACAGATGAACTACGTGTCCATGTTTCTGAGAAATAATCCTTCCTTCAATTCTGACTCCCTAGCTGCTATTAAATGCAGGGGAGGAAGAGCAATCTCTATTATATCTATCAAGGTTTTTCCACCCTGCCCACATTAATGACGGCAAATGTTGCATCCACTTATGCACATTTAGTTTTTGCAAAAGAAATCTATTTATAGCAATGTATAAAACAGCAAGCAGACAGGCAAGATCAGTTGTATGCAATCCTATATACATTTACTTGGGAGTAAGTCCTAATGTATCCAATGCAGCTTACTTCCAAGTAGACACATATAGGATTGCAGGGGCAATTACTTAAAAGCTTTCTTGTACTCTGACAGCTCCTGTCATGCAGCTCTTTCATTAGTGTACCAACAAATGGAATTATTATGATTATTTCATTTGTGATGTGATGGTTATTTTATTTTCAGTGACTCTAAGGGTGCCCCCACTGATACCTGAGAACTCACATGTTCTCATGTTTTAGTAAGCAAAATTTGCTTTTCAGATCTTCTCTTATTATTTCTTCTTGTCTACCAAAACCTAATTTGTTGTTCTATCGCTCACTATTAGACTGAATTCCTAGGACTGAGGAAATGCCTTTGTAATGAGAATATAGTCTTGCACATTATTATGCAACCAGAGCAGGGGTCTTCCTCGACTATTTTTGCTTCTTTGTTCTGGGCTTTGCATAAATTCAGTTTCTCTAACATGGTATTCCTAAGCAGACTCTGTGCTAACTCAGTGGACCTTCATTTCCTAATTGCTTCCTCCAGGCTTTTCCTAATTAGTACTGTACCCTAATTTTTGAAGATTATTTAGGTTTAATCATACTATCATATTTCTTTATGTCATGTACCATGTAAGAACATACAGTAGTTGCAATGATCTCTGTTACTAAACTTGTCAACCCATTTACTTTTCAGTCAGTTCTCTAACAACAGCCAAAAACTGGAACAATTTTACCTCTGAAAACTTTGTCAGCCTGAGAGACAACTTATTTGAAGACTGAGAATGTTGGCTTTCAAAACCATTTATTCCACATTTTAAATTGTTTCTTAGATAATAAAGCAACAGTATTGTGGCACCTTAAATAACAACAAGTTTTATTGGCATAAGCTTTCAATAAGTGTTGCCCACATCATCAGACACAGACCATGAAGGCTTATGCAAAATAAAACTTGTTAGTCTTCAAAGGTACAAAATTCTTTATTGGTTTGAATTGCAACAGACTAACAAAAGTATACCCTTCCCAGAAATATGTATAATGAAACATTACCATAAAAACAGCGTGGGGGGGGGGAGAGACATGTTAGGAGCCTCCCTGGAGGATATGAAGATTGTGAACACATTTGGCCTTCCTCTGGGCAATGACAGCACCTGGCTAGCTGATCCTTCCACTCCAGACGCACCACTGGATTGCTTTTGATATGAATGAAGATAATGAAAGTGATCTCTTGTTTCCAGAGCAAGTGCATCAGCAAATGTGTTCCACTGATACCACAGCCAAAACTGTGCCCATTTTCTACCCCCTGACAGGGTGTAATTCTCCTGCCGGGCTCTGAAGAGACTACAACCCTTGACACCTGCTTCTTGATGATTTTATATGTCTTTGGAAATCCACTGCATCCTTTGTATAAGCCAGCAATCTCTATAGTGCATATTGGCACAATACTGTTGCCCTCAGTTGGATCTGCACAAGTGCCAGTAAGCAAGACTGATTGATGGATAACTTTATTACAGACAAGGACCAGCAATAAGTAGGCAAGATAAAAGGAGCTCAATTTTCAGAACTCATTCAGGTAACACTGACCTTTATTTTTTATATGCCACCAGTTATAAAACAGCAACTCTTCAAAGTTAATATATACCTTTTTGTACAATTCTAAATTTCACTCTCAGTGCATACAGTGGGGTCTTGACTTGAGAACTTAATCCGTATTGGAAGGCGGTTCTCAAGTCAAAAAGTCTGTAAGTCAAGTCTCCATTGACCTACAGTGCATTGAAAATCGATTAATCCCGTAACAGGCCGTTTTTGTTCCATTTTGGTTTTTTTCTGGTCTGCAAGTCAAATCTCAGTCTGCAAGTCAAACCTAAATTTTGCGGCCAGAGAAGTCTGTAACTCAAAAAGTCTGTAAGTTAAGCCGTCTGTAAGTCAAGGGTCCACTGTACATACATCAAGAATTATGCAGTCTGCTAATAATCCAGTTGCTGAACTCTCACAGAAATGGGCAATACCAAGTTGTCTGAAGGTTTTACTTCAAGGTATTAGAACTTTATCTGGTCAACAGTGTGCTTACCTCAATATGTGTACATGTTAATTCTCCAGTTTTAATTTCTCCTCTATCTGAAGGGATGCCTTCACGTTTCAGTTCAAAGTGTGTTTTACTCATGTAACCATCCACAGAGTCCTGTGTTTACAGAAATACATTTTAGAATACATTTTTAGGCAAGTTACTCATTTTACTACTGCTGCTGTTTTTAAACAAAAACTCCAGACTTAGCACTGGGCATTAGGAATGGCTGTGGTTTAAAGAAGGTGCATGAACATCTCTACTGCCAATAGGGTAGATGAAATTAATCATTTTCTCAAGACAATTTGATTTAAATCACAATTCAAATCAAAAGAATTAAATTAAAAATGATTTTTTATTTATATCATCAAAACATCCAACTTTTATTTAAATGAATTTAATTTAAATCAAATCCACCATGAACCAATACTATAATTTCCATTATCTAGAAAGAAAATAATAACTCATTGTCATATTTTGAATCCAGACCTTCATAGTTATCTAAGACTGGTATTCTGACAGAAGAATTAAAAAGCAGAGTTTATTTTTTCTGTCATATGATGTGTGGGGGAGAAATATATATAAATAGATATAAGAAGTGGTCATGAATAAGAATCTGTTCTTAACAATGCATTCAATAAATAGATTTAAACATAAACTATCAAATCCAATCAAAATAAAAAAGATATGCTTTCAAACATAACTCTTGACCTATTTTTCAGTTAGGTGCAGATGGTAAACCTGTAAATAGTGATTTTAAAAAGACACAAGCATTCAATAGTGATCTTAGTATAAGCACTTGACAAGAAACTAGAAGATGTATCCTGCCCATATGCTGTTGAAAATAGGACTGAAAAGTTACCATCTGTAAAACAGGAGACTGTGAAGTGACTCTTTCTAAAATTATACATTAACTGTGCACAGGTCCAGAAAACCCATATTAAAGAACTCTGTAAGAATGAGATTAAGAATAATTGTCAAACTGATATCAAAATTTGAAGTCTAAGAACGCTAAAAAAATACGTATTTTTCATAACAGGAAAATAGGCTCCAAAAAAAAAAAAAATCCTAAAAGGCATAAAAATAAATCATCAGAAAAAAAACATTCATGTTAAGTACAATAAAAGCATGCAAAAAATATTGAAATACATACTGTATCTAGTATAATACAGTGGTGCCTCGCACAGCGAGGTTAATCCGTTCCGGATTAACCCTCGCTGTGTGAAAACATTGCTGAACCGGGCAGAAAAGCACATTGGAAGGCATTAAACCTCGCTCTGCGATCTTCGCCCTATGCAGGCATCGGTGTGCGATCGCATTAGCGATCGCAAAACCAGCCTCGTAGAGCGAATTCATCGCTCTACGGTGCACTCGTTGTGTGAGGCACCACTGTATACTGTATTATAGTAACTCATTGCCACAAAAAAAAACATGCATCAGTTAAGTGAAAGAAGTATGGCATAGGCATCCTTCAGTCTCGAGAGACTATGGTAACATGCTCTGAATCGAGGAGTGTCCTCTCCAGAGCATGAAGCCCGGGTAAGGTAATATGGAGGATAGGCTGTTACCCAAGCAGCAGATCCCCCCTCTCCACATTGCTGAAATGGTCCAATGGAAAGGCAAGAGCCAATACAACTGGTTCCAGCAATGTCGCAGGAGTTGGCAGAACGACACATGCTGCCTTCGGGACTCCGTATGAAAGAATGAGATAATCACAAAAGGATCATAGATGTGATTCATATACTGATGGAAACACTATACCAAATGGGGAAAAACTGGATCAAAAATCCTCTTATGCCATCATGGGAATGGTGGTGATTTTTCCATACTTTGATATACATCCAGTACTCTGGGACCTCTACACTCTTCAATTTAAAAAAAAATAATTTTTTTGCTTACTAGAGGGAGCAAGAGAGCTTTTTTCACTAGTGAAGATGGAAAATGATAATGGAAACATACCGTACTATCATAGATGGGAGTGTGTGGCTCTAGACCAGCGATGGCAAACCTATGGCACGCAAGCCCAAAAAGATTCGCCACCACTGCCCTAGGCCCTTAAGATTACCCACCCCTGTTGTACAGAAACAATGGCACGAAGATGAACCATATCAGATTGGGTGAGCAAGCTCTATACCTGTGTGATTGGGTTCTTTTGAAAGTGGTGACAGTTACTCAGATTTGGTGGTAAGAGGCTGAGACTGATTTTAACTACAGTGGAACCTCTACTTACGAATGTCTCTGCCTATGAACATTTCAACTTACGAACAGCTCAGCCCACCAAATTTTGCCTCTACAGTGGTGCCTTGCAAAACGAATGCCTCACGGGATGAAAAATCACAAGACGAATGGGTCTTGTGAGTTTTTTGGTGCCTTGCAATATTTTTAGTTTTGCGAAGCAAGTTTTCCCATAGGAATGCATTGAAATTTAATTAATGCATTCCTATGGGAAAAAGTCAGAAAAAAGTCACTTACTTGGTATTAAGACCGAGTAGACCGAGCCCCGCTCCTCCTTGGTAGCCCGGGAACAACCGGACTCTAGCGCCAAACAGCTGACCTTCAGGAAGCAGCAGAGAGACGGCAGCCATTTTGAGATGCGACCACATGGCTGCTGCCTCTCAAAATGGCTGCCGGCTCTCCAAAATGGCTGCCGCATCTCTGCTGGTTCCCGACGGTCAGCTGTTTGGCGCTAAAGTACGGCTGTTCCCGGGCTACCAAGGAGGAGCGGGGCTCGGTCTACTCGGTCTTACTACCAGGTAAGTGACCTTTTTCTGACTTTTCCCTCCATAGGAATGCATTAATTAAATTTTAATGCATTCCTATGGGAAAACCACCTCGCAAGACAAAAAATATTGCCAGACGGCCCATTTTGCGAGGCACCAAAAATCTCCCAAGACCCTTTCGTCTTGCCTTGCAAATGGAGCTTCAATGCAGGAATGAAAAAAAGGCAGGGAGAAAGGGTGGGAAATTTAAATTTGCTAACCATTAGTGGCAAAGAGGCTGTTTCTTTGTAGCTCTTTTGCCCCAACGGTTAGGAAAAGGGAGGCTCAGCAGCATTGCTGCTACCACCACCAGGAGGCGAGCCACCGGACCATCCTAGCTGGGCTCAGCTCCCGGGCTTCCAGCACCACCACCACAGGCTTTCCTGGAGCCCACCACAAGTGCTGCCTTGTCCGCCGAGGTGTGGGTTGTCCAGTACAGGCCTACCAGGGGGAAGCCTGTGTCACCAGCGCAGAAACCCTGGCCCAGCAGCGGATGGCAGCGGAAAAAGGTGGCGCTTGCGGTGAACCCCGGGAAAGCCTCCCAGGGCAGCAGAGAAGCCGGGCAGCAGTGGAGAAAGGCGGTGCTTGTGGCGAGCCCCGGGAAAGCCTCCGATGGCGGCAGGGAAGCCTGGCAGCGGCGGCTGGAGTTCAGGAGGCCTCCTGGCAGCAGCAGTTGCGGCAATGGAGGTAAGGTGCTGCTTTTTGCTTTTTAAAAACTTTTTCTTCTTCTGCAGGGTGGGATTGGGCTGGTGGGGTTATATTTCTGTTTATTTTTGAATTTGTTTTATTTTTTGCAGCCCCAGGGGCTTGCAATGTTTTATTTTTATTTGGGGGAGTTAATTTTTTCTTCAGCCAGAACAGATTAGTTGGTTTTCAATGCATTCCTATGGGAAATGGTGCTTCTACTTATGAACATTTCAACTTAAGAACATCATCTGGGACGGATTAAGGTCATAAATAGAGGTTCCACTGTACTTTCAACTTCTACTTTATTAACATGCAGGGTATCAACTATTATGCCAACTGAGTCAAAACAAGATAAATCAGGCAACCATCCATAACCTGTCAATGTTAACTTTTCACCCAAAGACAATTCATTTACTGCAGAGCTGGACCAAACCACTCATTATCGGTAATCTTGCGCAGGGAAGCATCGCACAAACCGTCCCACAACACGGCTGACATGCCCAGTCTCCCTCCTCTGGAGGCATGTTGTAGTTGGGATCAGGGCGTATCACTTTCTTCCCCTGTCCTTGCCCTTGCGGAAATACTATCACGGTCCATTCTTGTGTCTCATTAACTGTTTCTCCTTCTTTTGGAATCTCTGGATTAGGTAGCAAGCCTCCTACTTTTAAATTCGGAAAGTCCTTAAGTAGGTCCCACGCCTTTTCATACTTTTGATCGCATTTTTCTGTCTCTACTGCTATCTTGCTCTCTTGACTCTCCTTTTCAGTCTACTCCCGAACCTCCTTTCCTCCCCCTCCTTTATATCTTCCTCCCACACAGAGAGTTTTAATTCCTCCCGTTCTCCCTTCTCCCTCTTCCACCAAACAAACTTCTATGCTCTTCTTCTCCCTTACTAACATTCCTGTAATTCCTTCTATTTCTCCCTTATTCGTATCTTTCTCCTCCTTTGGTCTTGTTCATGAGGACACCTCACTTGCCTCTGGTTCTCCTTCACAACCTGCTTGATTTTTTCCAGTTACTTTCGGCCCAACTTCCTCTTCTTTCATTTGAACCTCAATTTTCCTCATGCCTGTTTTATCAGCACCACGTTTTCCTTATCTTTTTTTTTTATGGGCCACTGATACCCTGCCTTTATCCCTTTATCCTATTTTCTACAATAAATGATTATTGAATGTCATCAAATTGATTCCAACTTATCGTAATCCAAAGTTTTCCAGTATACAGCACACACAAGTGGTTTTGCAGTCCCCTTCTTCTCAGGTCACTCTGGGACTGTGCAGCTTGCTCAAAGCTATTCAAGCTGGTTCTTCTCACAAGACATACAAAGGAGACTCAAACTCCCAGCTTCTGCAGTGCAACCAGGCACCCAACTCAGTAAGCTACAGCCGTTTTCTTATTTTCTACTCCTCTTTGTTCCCTGAAACTGGTTCTCTCTCACTCACTCTCTCTCACACACACCACCCATCTAGCAAATTGCTACTCTGGGCCCTGTACAACAGAAATGAAGAAACATAATGCATATAAAACATACATTTTATAAAAATCAACTACAACAAACAAACTCTTTCATTGCAAGCAACAAGTAATAACACAAGAAGGACCCTCTTGGATCAGACAAAGGAGCCATCTAGTTTGACATGCTGCTTCCCACACTGCTTCGCTGAGAATCCC